TATTGTTCAAAAAAAATTCTGATAAAAAATTTATTTGTGTTCAGATTTTGAGATTTGAAAAATTGTTTACTAGGGAAAAAAATGTAATAATTTATTTGTAAAATATAAATTCTAGCACCTCCCTCCAAAAAAGAAACTCATCTAATTATTGGATTTTGATAATTTTGAAATATTTAATAAAGGATGGAATTTAAAAAAAATGATTTTAAATTTTGAAAAAAACAAAAAACAAGCAACACAAACTAGTTTACTAGTAAGTAAACAATGAGATGGGATGAATAAACATTGTTCAATCATGTTCTGAAAAGAGATTGAGATAAGAGAAATGGTGGGAGGTAACATATGCCTATAGTATACATTGGACTCACTATGGTGCTTGGTATGCAACAAATGCAAATTTTGCTTTTAGGAAATTTTTCTGGATCCATGGTTGGTAAAACCTATGGATATTTGACTAATTGTATGCAGAATTGTTCTAAATTTTTTTTAAAAGATACCAAAACACAATTTTAATTTAACATCTTCAAACTCAGGATTTTTAATGCTGTCATTTTTAGAGTGAACCATCAAATAATTAATTTTTATGCGATTGAATTTTGTTTAAGGTAAACAGAACTGTAAAAAAAAAAATAAAGAAAGCAGCATCATTTTAGTTATTTTATGTTTTTTAACTAACTTTATTTGAATTTGTTGTGGATCTAGGAAGGCTGCATGAATAAGGTTGTGCTGCAAATAAAACCTGCAATATCCACAAACATAAATTATAAAATATGGCCAAATGGTAACAATATTCAATTACAATAAAAAGGATAGCTATTTATATTTTTTATATGCATAATATTACAATTTTGTTTTGTAATGATGTGTGCGAGAGTATAAGAGAAAAAGTTCTTTACTGCTTCAGAAATGTTCAATGCCAAAAGTAAGTAAAAGTTGTCTGCCTTTTACTATAAAGGTTAAATTCAAATTAGACAAAAAAAGCTTTTTCTATGAAAGATATTGAATGGAAAAGTTTGTGGTGTAAATTTACCTAATCTCTCAAAGAAAGTTTGTTTCTTTGGCGTCTTGAGTTGTAATTTCCGTGTGTATCCCTTGTGCGTGAGAGTTTCAAATGCTGAATAAACTTGTAGCTTTAGAAAAGTATTTTAAAGAGAAAAGTTCTTGTTGCTTGTTTGGAAATGTTTGTAATGTAGTTTGGAAAATTTTGTACATACGTGCATGCATGAATATGTTTTCATGGGTGTCTGACCGCACATGGTCAAGACAGGAATCCTTTATGGTTACATTTTCACAGGAAAAGAGAATGAACAAGCTTGTGTCTGCTATTTATAATTAATGTAACCACATAATAGGATCACGGAAAAGGAGCAGGAAAACTTGACTTGGTCACGTGCAGGAAAAATATTTGTATGTGGGTGGATTGCAACAACCACTTGTGTGTTTATTGACCAATTTTTAAAATCTGAGATTTCCTGAAAATGTGTATTAAGCTGAATAAGCTCTTTGATCCACCTTTTTGCACAGATATGTACAAAATTCAACATTGATAAGAAAGTGGTATCGGGATGCTAAAAATTTATCAATTTTCTCTATTAATTTTGTTTCATATTTTTTGTTTTTCTTATTTTAGTTATAATTCCCTTCTTATTTTTAAGTGCTGAAATTATTACTCAGTTTTTTCAATTTCTATTGTTTGTTGCAAATTGACTTTTGTCCTCAAAACATTTTTTTATACAAGATTCTTTTTATTCTATTTTATTCAAAATACCTTTTTTGTTGTAGATTTCTTTGCTTTCGCTATTGAATGCTTACTAAACTTGTATTTCTCAACTGTTATATTTTTAAATATGAAGACATATTGAAAGAGCTTTTTAGTCTATAAAGTTTTAGTTAAGAATATTAAATGAACATAAAGACACTTTCATCTTTTTCTTCATGGTTTGTGTTCACTGTTCATTTTTTTTTTGCTTTTATTTAAAATTTCTCATTTAAATTCATCCATATTTCATTTTGATATTTAGATAGCAATATTTATTTTCCACAGTTTTTTATTATGCTTTGCTAAATATTAGGATTGTTAAGATTATAGGATCCAGATCTTATATTGTTCTCAAAACTTCAAAAATTAAACAAAACATAGCTTCCAAATTAAATTACACAACTAATGTAATTTGATTGGTTCAAAAATATCACATGGTCTGTTGTCAACTACATCCCCATGTCTGACCTTAATTTGACCTGATCAGAGGTACGGTTGTGATAAAAATTTAAAAACATTTTCTGGAGCCTATCATGTGACTTATATTGCTTATATAAACAACAAACAATTAAGAAACAGAGAGTGGAGAAAAATCAACCAAAAAAGCTACATATAATTTAAAAATCCTTTTTAACATAACCTCAGTTTTCCTTAATTCAATGCAAACTAAACTCATGTAAGCAAACAACAAAGTGATAGACACTCAAACATCAAACACAATGTAAGTCACACCCAGCACATTCTTTTTCCATAAACTTTGAACTGTTTATTTTGAATACAAACAATATTACATTGAACTGAATTTTTCCAAATTCACACAAATTACCCTACAACTTGCAGTTTATCAAACTGGAACATTATCTCACACAAAAATCTAAAAAGACAAGTTTATTTCACCATTTTAAACAACATTCATAATTATTGTTTTGTACATTTGTTATATAAAAATCTATTTATTTGTACAATTTCTCTTGTCTGAATTTTCTTGTTTCTTCTTCTTGCTATTATTTTGTGGCAGTGTGTTTATTATAAACTAGTGAGGGCAAGTGACCCCCACAAGATAAATCATGTCAAAATTCAACTTTGATGCAATTCAATTAAGTGTCAATGTAGTAAAGAAAATATTTATATATAAAGAAATATTATTTTTGGTCTACATTTCTGGCATAAGGAATTATCGCTATTTACAGTCAAAATATCTCCATCTTTGTTTTTAACTATCACACCATTTTGGTCGTTTTCAGGTATCTGTTGATTCAGGTAACTTACAGGAATTGTATTCATAAAGGACTAACAATTTACATTTTGTTAAATTTTAAAAGGTAATAAAAATGAGTAGATAGTACTTACACTTCAACATGCTAAGTTTTTAAAAAAATTAGTATCCTTTTAGGAGATTAATCAAATATTAACCATAACATTTTATTTAATCTACTTTTATTTTGCAATACCTATGACTCAATGTAAACTTTTGTGGAAAGCTATGTCTTTGAAAGATTAATTGTTGACCATGATTTTTAATAAATGGTCCAAAAAGGATGTTGCTTTTTGGCAATGATTTTTCCACACTTTATTTATGGTTTTGCTACTTGAACATGATAAGAAAACACATATTAAATAAAAATTTCAATCAAAATTATATTTTCTTTAAAAAACTTTTCACAATTTATCAGCTATTTTTTGTTTAATCTAAATAAGTTTTTTATTCTTTTTTTAAGGATCTGATGAATTTTTTACTTTAGCTGTTTGTCACTCTTTAGAATACATCAATACTTCAAATTAATTTTTCTTTGAAAAACATAATAAACCTACAAATTGAAATTGAACTCTTGAAGTTTTGGTTAAACTACATAAGAAATCACTTTTATGTCTCCATGTTATGAAAACTATTAAATATATTCTACTTTTAATTTAGTAAATTTTATTACAGTGTTAAAAAGTTTAAACATTACTCTTTCATTCATTTAATAATGTAGTAGCATTTTAACTTTCACTCCTTTTATTTTAAAAATATTAAAAGATCTCTTTAGTTGTTTAATTTTTTTTATTTTATTTTTTTTTTGCTTGTGATCTAGTTTTTTATATATTTAGGGAAGTATTATAACATCAATTATTGATATTTAAGTTGTTCATTACTGCATTAAACTTTACATTTAATTTAATATTATTGTTTTATAGATTTATTTTCAGAAACTGGTTTGTTTGTTTGTTTTTGTTTTTTTCAATTGTAAGATATTCTCATACTTTTGCATCTAATTTGACTTTGAAAATGATTTTGTAGATTTTTAACTCATTTTAATATTTGCGAATCAATACCTATAAAAGTGTGTCTATCATATGATAATTCATTTTTCTCCTTGTATTCATTCACTCAAACTATAAATACAAAATAATATCAGAAAATAGAAGAAAAATCTTGTTGTTAATCAATGACAATATGAAAGGCATGAAAGTAATCTCTCTTTAATATAAGCACACTTTCTTGAACCCAAACAAAATCAGCAAAAATGAATCCAAGAATCTGTTGTGGTAATAAGAGGATCTGTTAGTGATACCTGAGTTAGTGCCAAACTAAAATTTTATATGAACAATTGAACAATCAATTATTTCTGTCATCTTCTGTGGAATAAATCATCAGCTATTTTTATCATGTCCAAATCACCTTAACTTTGCTATTATCAAAACATCATTAAGTTTCAATTCATATCACTGAGATAAAAGCTTTTTACTTCTCTTGCCATTCATTTTTTAATATTATCCTTTGTAGGAACACTTTTTACTTCCCTTCATCTCTTTACTTTTTCTCTGTAAGTGACAGTTTTAATTGTATATATATTTTTATTGCTTTTTCCCAGTATTAGATAATATTTTCTAATTTATCTTAATTTCTGAATCTACAATAGCTATCTTAACTTTACTCACTTCAAACTTTATCAAATGCCAAATTGACTTTTATTACTTTTAACATTACTCATTGCTTAAAAGGTGGAAAATATGTACTAACCTTATTTTTTATTCTTTCTTTATGACAGGCTTGTCATTTGAATCGATTCTTATTTGTGTGATGGCTGACTACAAAACAGTGCATCTTGTTGAGGTGTGTGGACAGTTTGTGAGGAATGTGCTGCAGTAACAAAGGACATAAAAATAAGTAACTAATAATAGTGAACCTGTAATAATGGCTGATAAATCAGCTTCAGTTGCACCTCAAAACAAGGCCCCTGAATCTGATGGGGAGCCTATGACCCCTTCAGACCATAGTGATGCAGAACATGATGATGATAGTGACAGTGATAGAGATGACTCTGATTACCAATCTGAGGATGGAACAGATGACAGCAGTGAAGGGTAAGTATAGCAATTAACTCTACATTTGATTTCATTATCAGTAAAAAAAAAAAAAAAAATGATTGACTTTCTGATTATCTATAAAATGTTTTCAAAAGTAATTAACTCATTTAAAATTTTTCAGCACATGCATGCTCTTATTAAGTTGGGTAACCTCTTTTACTTTTCAAAACAGGTGAAATATATTTTTAAGAGTTAAATAAATGAAGAGGATGTCTAGGAGAAAAGGAATAAGTTGTTTCTTAGAAGAAATAAAAAATGGAGAGTTTTAAAATATACAGGAAAAATGAAAGAGAAATTAAAATGAGAATAGTTGCCATTATTTTAATCACAAAATAAAATTATTAAATAATGCTTTATAAAATAGCTTATGGATAGTATGCTCAAATAAAAAAAATTTGACTTTTTTTCATTATCTTATTAAAATTTTTCACAACATCTATAAATCACTATTTTACTCTAGATAATAAGATTTTTTTTTATCAAGTAAAATTTAAGTATCTTTTTTTATACAGATTGTATTTATAGAAATTGATGCTCTGAATTTAATTGTAGGATATTAAGTTGTCCACATTTTTTATTTTAAAAATTTGAATATCTGAATTCTAAACAATAATAAAATAAAAATAAAGGAAACATAAGTATGTCTGGTAAATAAATCCCTTGTATTTACAAACATATGTACAGGGGGAGATGGATAAATTGTCATCTAAATTACACAAAATGAAAATAACACTGACATCTCATTTTAACAGATATATTTACCAAAATTACACAAAAATATTTTGAAATACGACAGATTAAATTTCTTCAAATTTTATTTGTGGTCACAGAAACTGACAGCCATGACTGGGTTATCCCGCTTGTGTGGCATGGTGCAGAGTCCTGTTGCCATAGGGTCTTCCATCAGCTACCCTCTTGAATCAGGGCAGCACTATTTCCTTAAGGCACTTGATGTAGGCCACCATGTTTATCCTGAGGCTCTGTGGGAAGATGAATTGAGGTATAACATTGACATCACTTATGATCACTCCAGACACCATGATACTGACTGGATATTTGATTTTCATCACTCAGTACATCTTTTGGAAGACACAACATCCTCTACATTGTCCTCAGATTGACACACAAACACTCTGAAATGTTTGTATTGGAGTTTCCAGCATGAATATGCCAAGCAGTACAGCATGCTGTTTTGAAATTTCTGGTAGAGTGAATTGCATTATTGTGGTCTTTTTTTCTCACAGATGGTGCCCCACTGGCCCTACTATACTGTGCAGTCAACAAAATTGTAAACAAACGTGCATACATGAAATTGAAAATATAAAATTTACTCATCGCATCCTATACATAAATTCAAAATGGAGTACAAATAGTCTTTAGTTGAGTTAAAGTCTCTGGGTAGTTGGTTCACAGAAAAAACTGTAGTTTAGAAAAGACTTTTGGTGCAAAGAAACATAGTGATAAAAAATAGTGAGTTGGTGAAAAGAAAAATAGGTGTGGTCAAGAAAAGATTTTTATCATTAAAAAAGATTCACTGACTTGTTGTTGGAGTTGATTTGTTTGAAGTCACCAACATGAGTTTCTTTCAGCACATGCTGGGAGGAAAGAAAATGCTAACCACTTCTTCATTTGTGTCTGAACAGTTTGGAGACAGTCACATCTTTGATCCTTGAAATCTGTGGGTTTATTTAAGAAAATTTTTCCAAAACTAGACCCAAGTAAAATAGGGCTTCAGTTTTCTCTGATTGGTCAAATATTTCACATAGTGATGCTAATTTCTAACCAGTAGACACTTTGATTTAAACAGTATATGTTGTATTGTGGAATCTTTTTGCATTGTTTGTAATATTGTCTGTTGTTGGGTAGAAAATAGTTTGGGCATGTTTTAATATGGTATGTATGTGGGCATGTAATTGTGTTGGAAATAGGGTTTATTTCCTATATAATATCAGCAAGAAGTATTAGCTGAAATGAAAAGAGAACAGACTTTTTGGGGTTTTTTAAGCTTGAGAAGAAATAAAGATCCGAAGTATACATATCAAAATATGATGTCCATTGACTATTGCTGGAAAAGACTTGTGACAAGCTGAAGTGCTTTAATATGTTGTCATCCATTTTTAAAAAATTAACATTTTCAAATCTTTTTACACAAAAGAGATGTATGAATAAATTTGGGTGCTTAAATTTGATAACTTTTTTAGCTTTATTTAAAATTATGTTGATTGAAGGGAAATAACTACCAGATTATTTTATACTATTCAAAATAATAATTTAAGTTAATATGCTATTTGAATATTTCTCACTAAGTAACATGATTATCCTGTGTTGTGAAAATAACATCCATTAACTTTTTCATAGATGACCATCTTGCCACCTCCATATAAGAAACAAATGAAATTAACATATGTATTGTTTATTTTTATCTATTTTTAAAGTGAAAAATGTTCTATTTTTTTGAACTGATATTGTTGAAGTTGAATAAAAAGACTGATTTTTATTTTATCTTCTCAAAATTCATTTGTTACGGATTTTAATCAACCCACAACAAAGAAAAAAGTGAGAAAGGTGTTTAAATATAAAATGTTTTTATTTTCATCTTTTTTTATAACTTAATTTTTCTTAGAATTTTAACACTCATACACACTTACTGTCCTTGTTTGTAATTGTTTAAGAGGAAAAGAAATGTGATTTCTTTGTGTGTATGTTTAAGAAAAAAAAGTAAGGGAGAAAGTAAGGTGGAAAGTCTAAGTGTCATGTAGCTTGGTGAGGAAGATAGGGAAATGAGCCAGGAAATTTCTTACACATACTGAACTGTTGCCATTCCTTCTCCTTACTGGCTTGTCTGGTGTAGGAACTTTGCTTAAATACCCTTCAAGGGGATCACAAAGCATTTTTTTTATTGTTAGCAGGAACGTAACCTATTGGTTGAAAAATATTAAATACTTATTTTCAAAGCATTAATTTATGAACCAAAAAGATACGCAAATCCGACTCAGAAAGCATTTTTTGCCATTTGGTCTTTTGACTCTTTTGATCTTTATTTCCATCTTCACCCTACACATTCTATTCTTGTATTTCTTTACATTTGAAAAAAAATTTTTATATAAAATTAAAATTGAAGACTTAACCTTTTCAATTCACATACATATTCAGTTTTACCTAAGCAATACTTGCTTATAAACTAGAAGATAATAATTAACATTCCAAATTTTGTTCAGACAATTGCATTCCTACCTTATGGTCTTGATGTTGCTACCACAACATTTTTACTGATCCATTCTTCAGTGTTGTGTTTTCTGTTTTAATACATCAAAGTATTGCTTTCTAATAAATCTTTATTTATATTTTAGAAATTTGTAATAAAGAATTTGGGATCTAAGGTTTCTTCATTTTGGATCCAATAATTCATCCATCATTGCAATTGAAATGATAAATGAGGTGTGTAACATGAATGGAACAGAAGGCAGTAGGATGTGGAAATTAAAATAGGGAGGATAGATAACAATTGTGATTTGACATAATACCATTACGATTGTCGTATTCAGGGAAGCACCCATATGGCAGATTGTTTCTAAATATAGGAGCTCTTTGGTAAAAGCTGTCCGAGTGGAACTTTCTTCTTACATGTGGAAATGAGGCTGATTCAATTCTATGGAAGTAGCATGGCATGTCCAAGCTGTCTGAACATTTGTCATGCAAATAGCAATAGAGTAGCAACATTGCACGTGTAGGAAAGGGGCTGCAGAGTGGAAAATAAGTCTTCCTACACAAAAGCATGCAAATTATTTTGAAATCTATCAATGCTGGAATGTGAGGATTGAGCAGCTCTATGGCAACAATATTACATTTTTGTGTTAAGATTTTCCTAACATTGTACAAAAATGATACTGGAAACTTTTGCATCAACCTTTTATATATATATATATATATATATATATATAGATACACCTAGTGAGCCAGACAAACCTACCTAGGTTTCACCTAAACGGATCGTCAGGGAAAGTTTGGCTAACGAGGCAAAGAGAAACACATATTTATAGGCGATAGCTAAAATCATACCACGTGACCAAAAAAAAAAAAAATTTTGAAACAGACATAATAAATAGACAAAATGCTAGAAATTTCAAAACTAACATGCAGCAAAATATAGTTAACACAAGTAATTTATGCAACTGTAGAAATAAAAATAGATGTCCATTAGATGAAGCTTGTAAAACTGAAGCAATAATCTATAAAGCAGAAGTAACAGATATTAATGACCAGAATAAAAAGTACATAGTATGTACTGAAGGTACGTTGATTGTACAATCATAGGTCATCATTCAAGCTAGTAAGTCTTAGGTGGTCTACCAAACTAGCTAACCATGTGTGGAATTTAAAAGAAAAAACAGCAGGGATCTGATTGTAAACTGGAAAATTAAAAAAAAAAAAAATAGGCTAAGCCTTATAACAACCACAATAATATTTGCAACCTCTGCCAACAAGAAAAATTAGCAATAATGACATTTCCGGATCCAGAGGACTCCAAAAATTAGCAATAATAACCAAAGACTCGTAACCTTGGATTTCTGGTTCAAAAGAACCAGAAATCCAAGGTCAGGAGTCCTTACATACATACTAAAAAATTCCTCTTAAGCACATATAAGATTATGGATTAAAAAAAAAAAAATTTTAAATGTACACTTTAATTACCCCCTCCCCAATACATTTATAATACCCTTGCTTTTCTTCTCTTTCCCCTTCTTCCTTCTTCACATCCTCATCCCTTTCTATTTTAAAGTTTATATATATAAATAGATGTATTATGTATATTGTAATAAATATTATTTGTGTGCATTCTCCCTACTCTATTGATATATTTTATAGGAAACAAGCAGGTGTAAATTTTACTCATTTTTTTAAAGAAATGAAATTGGTGGCGGACTTGTTTATCTGTGCTCTCTCTTTTTATCCTCTGGGTTGTTTCAATTTCAATAGATTTATATCTAAAACTTGAA